TGGAGCGAAAGCTCGCGCTGCAGAACTCACCCTGCCCTGCCCGTTTCGATCTGGAAGAGCATCGCACCGGCGTGCGGTCGTGTATCCGTACAGCGTGGTGCACGTTAAAAACCCCAGGTTTGCGGTTGTACCGCACTGGCTAAATTGCTCATCTATAGCTGAGACACCAGACGCCCACTAAGGCAGACTAACTTCCGGCTGTATAAACATACACACAACAATTTGCAATTAGACGCATAATAACTAAGAACACAGCGTGCCGCCTCTTTTCTTGGGAGGCCCTTTTTAAACCAGCGAAAGCTCGCGCGTTCTCTCTTTTGAGACGGTTAGAACGGTCGCACATAAAACCCGCGTTTCTACTACCCGGCCGCTTCCTCCTCTCATTATGTGTAGTTGGTTATAACTAAATAAGCTATAAGAATGGTGTATTATTCATATTTACTTTCAGTTTCAGTCAGGGAAAAGGAGTTTCGCGGGAACTAGAGCCAATAAATGAGCTGCGCTTAGAGTAACGGCACTCTCTTCCCCGACAGTGCTGTGAACGCCGCCATTTTCGTGCTTGTGCAGAGCAGGCGCAACTGCCGATCGTCATGATTCAAAAGTGCGACATCCTCAGCATAAGATTCGGTGTTAGGAAGCTCATGTAATGTCGCTTTCCTTTATCGCAAACTGTTTAAGTGGAGGACGGAAAAGCGTTTCTTGTGATTTCAGATAAAGCTTCAAATAACTGGCAACCATGATTTTAAGCCACAATATGGCCAAGTCTTGCTACTCTGAAGCGTAGCTAATTTAATGACACTATTCATGCTCTTGTTCAAGAGGCTTGTAATACCTGGAGGGGCCATGACGTAAGCCCCGTGGATTCCAGAAGCCACTACCTTTTGACACCTGCCTCTTCCTCATTGTTCCCGCTTGTGCCAGTAAACTAGCTACGGTTCAGAGTAAAGACTTGGACATATTGTGGCTTAAAATCATGGTTGCCAGTTATCTGAAGCTTTATCTAACATCACAGGAAACGCTTTTCCGTCCCTCACTAATGTTTAAACAACCCGCGACAGAGCATTGCAATATTGCATCAGCTTCCTAGCACCGCATCTAATGAAGTCGTTCTTTTGGATCATGACGATCGGCAGTTGCGTTCGCTCTGAACAAGATCCGAAATGGCGGAGGCCAAAACAATTCTGGGGAACGGAGTGCCGATAATTTAAGCTCATTTAGTGACTCTATACTTCGTTTCAGCTTCGGTCCAGACGCAGCCGATGCTACAAGCGCGAGCATGTGGTCCAGAACAGTGGTTGCACTGCACGAGCGCGCGAGCTTGGCAGGGATGCTGAAAGCCCGGAGCTCGCGCTTGTAGCTTTGGCTGCGTCTGGACCGAGGCTGAAACGAAGTATAGGCATGAACTCGGGTGTATTATTTTCCTCTTCGTCTTTATTGCTTATTGATTTCAATCATATCGAATAATGAACACATTATATCACGCTACGCTTGTGTAATTATTTGTCTTAGATTTATTAACCTGACCCAGTACTTAAACCATTCATTTATCGATAGTAAATCTTCCAATATATTTTTTTAAATGTGGAGGCAAAAAGACACGGTGATTGATGATGATACAGACGCCAACGCCGCCCTCGGAAATTTTTTGAACATTAGAAATCAGCAGTTTGTCTGCCATCCGCCAGGTAGCGCAACAAAACACCCAAACAGTTTTTAATTTTTTTAAAATTAGCTAAGCCCTACACCTATTAAAAAACCAAAGCAAGATCATTGTGAAAATTTAATACATCGCAATGTTTATCTATTCAAATCAATAAATGTTATTAGATGCCAATAAATCTGTTTGAAGTCAAAAAAGAGATACGTCAAAAACGGGTAAGTTTGAAGGGCTCCAGGAGCGTTATGACTTTGAAAATGAAAAAAAAGCCACCGTCCACCTCTTGGGTGACCATTGTAGCTCTAAATGTTATAAACGATTTTATCATAGTTTAATTATTTCCTCAGTGGCATTTGAAGTACCATGACTCGAAGCACAAAAAAGTGCTACGTTTGATATAAAATATCTAAACAAAAAAAGTTTACACAACATTAAATTTTTTTCTGCATATTACCAATTATAAGCACTACATCTGTAGCTAATTTCATTGTCCGAGCGCTTGTCATTAAAAACATATTTGTGCTAAAAAATGTCAATTTTAGGGCAATATTTGGAGGGATGAAAAAAACAAAGTATTGCAAATACCAAAAAAGTGTATCGTTACATTCTTCTCCGACATCATCTTAACAAAACTGCTATATTGGAACCGTGTTATTTTTAATGGATCGTTCATAAAACATGAGCTAGGGGAGCAAGTGAGGGTCCGCGCCGTCATATTCGCAACGCTACAAATGCGCATGAACAGTAAAAACCAACACACACATAATATCAAATGAAAGAGGATTGCATTGCCTTTCGAATGACATCAATCCCACAAAACAGTATTTAAAAAGAGATGAGTAATGACCTGCCAAAAAGTACCCAAACTGCCACATTCAGTGGGACCGTGGCCTTAACATGTTCTTCAGTAAAAAGGATCACAATGTCTGAGAACTGAATGCAGTTTTTCACGGGCAATTCCCAGGTAAAATTAAGTCCACCTGACACCTCCCTAAACAGTTTGACAATCTTCTCAACGTTTGGCGGGGGCACGTGGGTACGTGAACGCGGGAGAGATGGTCTGCAGTGTTGACAGTGTTGACATTTATTTTAAGCGCGCCGCTAAATTGAGCATATATCCAAAGCAAACTTGGCTAGAGAAGCAAAAGGGTTTAGCCCGCGAGCATCTCTAAAATTGTTCAAAATAACTAGATTACGGTTAAACACCAAAGTCTCTAAAAAAGTCGCCAGCCGCTAAATTAAAAAAAAAAAAAAGAAACCCGTCGCTAAATGTATAGATAATCGCTAAACCTAGTAACAAAACCGCTAAAATGGCAACACTGAACGCCAGCAGTGTAACACCGTTTCTCGTGAGACTATAGGGAGTTTTCGTAGACCGCGTTTCCCCATCCGCCAAGCTCTCCGCAACGAAGAAGCCGCTACTGAGCCTGCGCGCCGATGGCCTTTACTGTTGAGTTCCGGGGATCGTAGCGAGTTGCGGAGTGCGTTGCCGGACGGCGAAAACCATCTACGAAAACACCCTTATAGGTTATATGTAAGCCTTTGCCGAGAGACCCCCAGCAACAGTGTATCGTTTTGTCAAAACATGCTTCGTGGAAACACGAATTGTTGACACCTTATCGAAACACTTCTCGTATTTCACGGAGACACGTTTCGCCGACGCTGTGACGTTTCGTGGAAACTCAATTCATTTCGTGGCCACATCTTCTTGCGACGTTTCTTCAACAATGATAGTTCTGCCTAAAAGTGGATTTCATTTGGTTAGTGGCTTTGGTGTTTAACCGTAATTTTGTTCGCTGTAAGTAAACCGCAACTAACCAGCTGCAGGTGGTCCCGACGGAGCGAAAACCCCCTGCTTTGCTCCGCTCCGCTCGGGGAAAATGGATTCTATTAAAGGGTCTTTGTAGGAAGTTTTAGTAGGTTCTCTTGTAAGGCCCGCTACCGCTACGGGCGCGCGCTTCAGAGCCTGCATCGATGTCGCAGCGCGAGCTCTCGCTACAAATAGCGTGGCCTGAAACACGATCTGTTAAAACTCTCTATACTCTGTTTCCCACTTAGCGTGCAACGCTGTCAAAGCTGCCGGCGCGAGCGTGGGGCTTGATCTCGTTGATCATTTACACGCGTTCTCGCGCACAGGAAACCTCAGACGAAACCACGCGCTCGCGCCAGTAGCTTTGACAGCGTTGTATATTAAGTATGAAACGGAGTATAGTAGATCGTAGGCTGCGTAACGCGGGCTCAGCGGGCGCGTGCTTAATGCATGCTTCGAAGTGACGGCACGAGCTCCTGCTAGCAAAGCGGAGTTCTCACGTTCGATCTACTAAAGATAGCTAAACGTCCCTATTCTCAAGGCTGGTTCAAAAAACGGTTACGTTCGCATGCAACCGTAACGACCGAAACGACCAAAACACCGCAACAACCGTGACTCGTGGATTGCTTCGCGGAGCTACCCCTTGCATCAAGTTGCCATGCTGTGTACGGCGAACACTTGGCACGGTGACTTTGATGTTCCGGTCGTTTCGGTTGCTTGCGAACGCAACCAACGCAAATGTGTGAACCAGCCTTCATGCTGGAGCTTGCGCCAAGTTTCGTCGGACCCGCGGCCAAGGGTTTGGCAAGTAGCGAGCCGAGAAACTGAGAGAGAGAGAGAGGAGAAGGTGAAAACTCGCGGTGACGTCAGAACGCCGAGGTCTGGTTGGAATGATTAGCGGTGGACCTAAAACTAGCTGCCTTTGTCTCTATTGCCGTCGTTGAACGCGTTCGAATGCGAAAGTTAAATACCGGACGCCGGCGTTCCGCTTTCTAAAGGCTCTGTTATACTGTGATGTTGAGCGCAGCGAACGTAGGGGAGCGCAGAACGTGGGCCTTTGATTGGCCGGCGAGCAGAACCTCAATACCTGCAACCAACCAATATCGCTGTCCGCTACGCTCGCCGCGTTTGCTACGGTTGACGTCGGAGTATAGCAGAGGCTAGACGCGTACGACGAGTGCAGTGGAGGCAAAAGCAACTAGCTTTGAGTCTACCCACAAATCATTCCAACCAGAGCTTGGAGTTCTGATGTCTCCGCGAGCTCCCGTGTCCTCCTCTCCCACAGTTTCGGCGCATAGGCTACCGCCAGGATGCCGGCGGTCGAGGCGATGTGCACGGAAAGAAGCTGTTGACGAAACGTCTCAGGGTGTGTCTACCAAACGAACACGGGTGTCTTTCGATGATACAAACTGTGGATAAAGCGTCGCTGTGTTGACAAAATGACCTGTCGATGAAACGTCGTTCGGCGGCCTGACGGCTACTGCGTTGCGAGCTGCGTGATGGGCCTAACCTCGTGGCGTGGTGCGTGCACAGCCTGCGTCCAGTTCCTGATGGGCTTCGTGCACAGCCTGGCCAGTACGAACAAGCCACTTGGCAAGGCCTACGTGGGACTCTGGCCCTTCGTCCTCCTCTACACCACCGAGGGAGCCGAGGTGGGCCTCGTCTTGACTACTGTATTGTTAGGGAGAAACGCCATAGCAGAAAGATGCAAGTGGAAGTATTATCGTAAGAGCGACGAGGGCGATCTCTGGGCTTTCAGCGTCCCTGCCAAGTAATCGCGCTGGTGCAGGGCATGCATCGTTCTGAATAGTCTGCTCGTTCACGCAATTCAACTTGACTCGCGCAAAAAAAAAAAAAAAAAAAAACACGAAACGTAAATTTATAAACAACACACCGTTCCAATGTTTATATATTTTCAGCCCAGCGTGCAATCATCAGAGTGTTCGTCGTTGCGGAAAGCGAGCAAAATAAGCGCGATATACGCCCTAACGCCGAAAATGGCACATGCCCAAGGCCCTTTTCTTAAGCCATTTTATAACGCTTTGAGTATACTTGAGGACAACTTTTTGTAACAATGAAGAAAAAGCTATGAGCCCCAGGGGGCTCGCGCAGATTGAGCACCGATGAAAGCTGTGCATGAACACTTTTCACTTCTGAAATTCCAAAGAAAGTTGTAACTCGCCATCGGGGGATGGCGAGTTACTCTCAGACCTCCAACTGTATTTTCCCAGTTTGTGAACGCTAGAGAAAATAACGTTGCTCATGTGTTTGTTTATACTTAACGCGCCACACAATTTCAAACCGAAGCCGCACAGCATGGCCGGAGTCACCATATTAACATGAACTCAATGCGGCTTACCTTTTGCCGGTCAGGTTCGGGTAACAAGAGAGGGATGGTAGGGGGAATGAAATAGGCGAGCGGGCAGTTCGCACAAGAATAAGGATAACACACATGGATGCTTCTTCGTTAATACATTCAACCACCGATTTCATCTTATTTTAATTTATTTATTGACTTCAATTTCACCCAAGAGTTAGGATGCCCTTTACGGGTACCATATGTGAAAAGCATGACCCTCGTCAGCTTCAAACACAATGAACATACAGGCAAATATAAAATAAAGGAACAGGATTCAAAACGCATGGGTGGAGTTAAGTTATTGGTTTTGGTATCGGGTTGTATTTATTTTTTGTTACAAACTGCTTTTGAACTGTTGCTGGGGAGCTTAAGGTTTTCAAGTCGGACCTCTTCGAACTTTGTGGGCAGCTCGTTCTGTTCTTCCCCGTACTTTCTCTACTGTCAAACACAAATGAGCGAGAAACAATCACAAAACATCATCGCCTTTTAAAGAGGTTTTTTTTTTTTTTTTTTTTTTTTCGCATTTGAGTGTTTTAGAAGTTGGGCTCCTTGACCTGCACGTACTGTTTCCTTCTGCCTAAGATTCAGTTGGTCTTACCTCCTGGGCTACTTATTTACGTTTTATTGCTCTATTTACTATTTTTGTTTTATGTGCCTCATTTGCGGAAATTATAGACACCATTCTTTATTAGGGCATTGCCTTTTATTTTTATAGAAGAATAATTGTAGAGCACAAGTATCAATCTATGAGAACCAAATGTGGAAATTACTTGAAACTGAGAACAAATACTACACGTTGCCCTTGAATTTAGTGCTTAAGTACTTCCTTTCGAACTGTAATGGTGGTTGTAATAAATACATTTTTGCCACATTATTGACAGGTATTTCGCCCATTCTTGAATTACGTGCGCAAGCTAAATACATCGAGAACTTCGGACACCTATCGGGCAGGAGATCGAACTATAGGGGGCGCTTTATCGAGCTTGTTGTCCCCACTGCCCGGTGTTTACTTACACAGCATAACCAAGAAATCGAAACTCGCCGAGCACGGTTTGGGCCCTCCGAATCGTCGTCTTCGATTTCTGAGATAAAAAAAAAAAAAAAAAGAAAAAACGATACAAAAATACAGTTTGTTGTCCCCCCACGTGGAGCGCACCACTAGAGGCGTAACTGTTCGACCTCCTCCCATTACATGGTTTGCACTGACGTCGCATCAGCGGCAATAGAACCATCGCTATATTACCCAGGCATCAAGGAGACTGCAGGGATTGGTGTTCCACGCGCCGCCCGTGTTGTCCTCAGCAGTAGTAAATTTTCTAAAGCGAAAACCTAAAAAAAATTGCATCTTGCACGCGCGTTCGTCAGCGCTTTATTTTGGTTATTTACTTCGAATATTCTATACGGAGAAGGCGTGCGCGTGTGGCGCATGGAACACCAATCCCTGCATTCTCCTTGATGCTTGGGTTATATAGAAAATGGTCTAGCCGCAGATCGCGCGCCCTCTACCGCATACATTTCGCGCCACCGAATTTGTCTGTCGCGTCAGGAGCAAGTCGAGATGGTCACCAGAACGATGCGATGACGTAACGTGCAAGCCGTGCATACGAAAATAAACTAATGAAAAGGTGAAGAGGAGGGCGTGCGATGACGTCAGAGTGCCGAGCTCTGATTGGAAGGATTGTGTGTGGACGCGAAGGCTAGCTGCCCCTTTGCCCCTACCCACCCCTTCCGATCAAAGCGATCAAAAACGATGTCCGCTATCTGATCGGGGTCTGTCCTTTAAACGACGAACGCCACACCCGATGCGAGGAACAGACGACTCTCTCGTTCTCTTTGATTGCGCGGAGACGCCATGAGCAAAGGAGTCAATAGTTATGCGCCTACCATTCCAATCAGAGCGCGGTGCTCTTATGTGACCACACGCTTTGATATATTCCTTCATTGTTTTAGTTTCTCTCCGTACAGCTCCTTGTGTAGTACATTTCATCGAAACTAATACAAGGGCGGTGGTGTCTATTTTCTAATTCGTTGCTGAAACGCAGGCCCTGCTGAAGAGCACGACGGTGCTGAACAAAGCACTTTTGTACAAGCTGCTCAACTCGTGGCTTGGCACTGGCCTCCTTACCAGGTACTTTCATCCGCGAAGCATTGAACTTGGTGGGGTACAAACTGAGCCAGTAGAAGAGCCTTCCTACACCGTTGGCCAGTAGTAAGTTTAATACCCCTATCGCACGGGCATTCCGTATGCCGCTTCGACCAAGAGCCACGAGAATTGGTAAATGAGAGCTTGGCGAGTAGGACGTGCGAAGTCGAGATCGCGAGCTCATTTGCATACTCATTCTAATTACATTTGACTCAATTCCACTTGACAAGACCTTGTGACAAGGGCATTAGTATAATTCCCGCAAGTCCGTTTCATTAGCTAGTCACTAGTCAATATATAGTATGCTACGACGGTATTTTTTAGCAGCAAGCACTGTGCATACTTTTCAACTAGAAATTTCTAATGAAGGCATGTGGCTGCTCCGTTTCCCTCTAGTATGGTGAAAGAACACCGTGTGGCGAATTGTCGAAGGAAGGTATCTGCGGCGAGCAAGTGTTCCAGAAGTCGTCTTCGGCGCGTCGGAACGTAAGGAGAGACTCGCGTATCAAAGGCCAAAGTAGAGAACGCACACACGTGCCCTCGTTGTGTTAAGGTCGGGGCAAACGGAAGCACGTGGGCAAGCTTGGCGAGTAAACAAACGCAGGAGGTGCGCAAAGAGCACACGAACTTGTGAGCCGTTTAGTTTTCACATGTGCGCAACATTACGCTGGCATCCCGACAGTCTGGAGAATACGGTTAATGAAAACTTTAGGCAGGCATAGTTGCGCGTATTTCATTCTGAATATCGTGGCCGTAGTGAGTGATTTGGAGTTTCTGTTTTCTTGTGACATAAAACCGCTGATTTTGTTTAGAGACATTGAATATAAGTAGGGTTCCGTATTTTCAGATAAATCCGGAAAACTCTAAAGAAACATCCGCCGGTAAATATTTCGTCAATTGAGATTTATTTGATAACCTCCCAACTTCGATGCACCAATGCAAAAAAAAAAACAAAAAAACAAAAAAGACCCTACTTTTAATTAAATCTGGTCAGCGCACGAGGTCAACGGCCCCGATGGAAAGCCACGCTATTTTTTTTTTTAAATATTTCCCACTACTGACAGTAGGAATCTGCGGTTTACCTTATCAAGGTTCGTTTAGGACAACATGACATTTTAGGCCAGACTTTTTGTGCTTCTTGGAGAAAGGGAGGGTTGTGTTTTTGCAACATCGAAGGTGGATTCGACAGAGCGCACAAGAAAGGAAAACAAAGTAGAAGGGGCACACAGGACAAGCGCTTACTCACAACGGAAGTTTTTATTAAAAAGAAACACCGAAGTTGACAACAGCATTTCACAGCATCATGTACAATTCAGCACGTGTCGAGATAACACATCTTTTTGTTATGCAGAAGTACCGGGGTTTGGCTTACACATTGCCCAGTCCCTTCCTTTTTGATCGCGTAGACCTCTAAAATGTTTCTAGTCACCTGATCTCCACCCCTCCCCCCCTCTTCCAGGATTCCGAGTCAAGAGGTCCAGCGCGTCAAGAGGTTCAATATTGGACCTCCTGACGCGTTGGACCTCTTGACGCATTGGACCTCTTGACTCGCCGGAGATCTATTGACTCGTTGGACCTCTTGACCCATATTGGATCTCTTGACTCGCGCCTCGATGTTTCAAGAGGTCCAATGCGTCAAGAGTTCCAATATTGGACATCTTGACTCGTTGCACCTCTTGGTGTGATGTACGTACAATCAAGAGAAGTAAATAAAGTACAAGCAAAAAAAAAAAAAAAAACTACGAGGGCATTTAAGCTTTTTCTTACGATGTGAGAATGCGTAAGCATTACCTTTGCCTGAGTTATGTCGCCGCAACGGATAGCGCGCTAGTTTCACGATCAAGAGGGCCAAGGTTAGAAACCAAGGAGTGGATGATCACGTGACCAGATTTCTTTTAAATTTCAGTTTGGTCATGTGACAAGAGAGGTCACGTGAGCACAGATATTTTTAATATTTTTTTCGGTTTGGTTACGTCACCAGATAGGTCACGTGACCAGAGATATCACGTGACAAAATAGGTTAAGTGACCAGATTTTTTTTTATTGTGTTGGATTGTGTTGGACAAGTCACGAATTTGACGACGGATTTTGCCGACGGTTTTTCGCTGACTGAGCCAGGTAATGCTAACACATTAAAAAAGCAGACAACAGAATGAGGCGGAGAAGAAAAATGTCGAAAAAATAGCAAAAAGTTAAGCAGCGAAGACTTCAACACCGCAGGGGGGATCTGACGAACACGGCTTTGATTCATCGTTTCAGGCCGGTGATGTAATCACTGTTCGTGTGTATGATCCGTAATTTGCTTGGTTTTTGAAGTGACAGATACGACGTGCTGGGCTGTGGAAATCGCATGCTAGGCACTGGATTTGTAAACTTCGGAAATCATTGTTGTTGCAAACTGTCAAGCTTATAGCAACATTGGTTTGTTGAGGACCTGCAGCCCTGCAGGGCTGTGTGCCTTCTACCCCTGACCACAAAGTCGTAAATCTGCATCTCCCGTGTTTCTCTCCCCCGCGAATATCGAACAGGTCAAAGGAAAGGTCTTAACATTCCACGATTTGAGGTGGCTTTTTTGTTTAAGTAGTGTCTACTTCGAGGGCTTCGTGGTGTCTTACTCTGTACATGTCTTACGGCGCATTTTGTCCAAAAAAAATTGACACCCGGGTTTAAAATAATTGTAAAACTACTTTGAACACATCTTTCGTCACATACGGAAGATATGTTTATAGCTACGTGCTATTTCGACGTCTACCATCACACTAAAGTACTATTCCGGTGTCATTTTTAAAAGTTATAATAATTGTTTTAATTGGTTCACGTCTCGTCAAAATAGCTTCCTTGATATTTTGAAGTCCTTGGCCTTCGAAGAGCTTGAAGAGACAGTTTGACCTGGCGCAGTATGGCGTGTAAAGTTAGTTATTTCTCTGTTCGCCGTGGCCTAGCACTGGGCACACTAGATCTATCGGCTTCAGAGATCGACGCTCTTTCCGACAAAAGAAGTTCTTCAATCGACTTCAATCTCTATAATTCAATTTTCTAAAAATAATTGAGCAACTAACCCAACATCTTACAATTCCACCTGACTAACACATCGCGTAGTTTTGACAGCATTCGCGAAAATAAAGACCAGTAAAGGAGTTGCATATCGCTAGCATAAGTATTTATGGCTGCTCCGTGCTTCAGAGGAAGTCAACGGCCCGGAATAACCCGCTAGCTTGCACCGGTCATATCATCGTTTCAAGGAGGCAATGCTCGCGTTTATTTGCAGCACTTTATTTGACGCTAAGTGGCGTAATTTGGGCTCGTTTAAAGACGCCCTCCAATGATTTTGAAGCTCCTTTTCATGATCTGTTATTTACCTCTTTAGTGATTCGGTGAATTTAGTGAATAAAAACTAAAGCATAAAATAGTGGCGCCTCATATTTTTAATAGGAGATACGATAACCCGGGGCTAAACAAAGTTACCAACGGAAGTGTTTGCGATTACAAATACTGAGATACATGAAAGAGAAGGCTATACCCGAGATGGGGGCTGAGGTACATTTGTATTTTATATCTCGGGAATTTGAGAGCCACTTCTGTAGAAATGGCACAAATGTGTCCTAGAGCACAGATGCTAAGTTCTACAAGTCCAAGATATGTCACCAGGCGCTAGCCATTATTTAACACTGGAATACATATACATTGTGGCAAATAGTCTTTTTCTACTTGTCACCAATAGCTATGTAGTAATTGTATTGTCCAAAATCATTCAAATATGTCATACAGTCAGTAGCCGTCACAAGCAGCCCCCCCCCCTCCCATTAATAGCAATATAATTATAAGCAGAGGGTCGATATCACATGAGTGAATGACGGGTCGATATCACATTACGGGTCGATGTCACAGGAGTGAATGCCGTCTTAGCTAACAGTGAAATTTGAGCGAGTCGACGTTTGAGCGAATAACGGGGACGCGTGTTAACCCCCCCCCCCCCCCCCCCCCCCCCCCCCCCCCCCCCCGCTGCGCTTACACCGCTTCGCGGCGACAGTCTGCGGCGGCTCATTACGAAAATGTGAACCCACTTGTCTCACCCATAAACGCCACTTCGCAGCGGCCGACTGTTCGCTAAACTGTCATTCGGTGAAACGTGGGCGTTCGCTAAAACGTCATTCTATCAAGTGAGTGCCTCCCCCCTAGTCATACTGTTGAAGCCATGAAACTCGAATTACTTCCATCTCGTCATGACGCGCGGTGGTAGCATGCATAACGAGCGGAGGTCGATGCCTTTATAGGTGCATTAGGTTTTCATAGCGCAAAACATTTCTAAGCTTCCCAGAAAAATATATAGAAACCGCTTGAGTTCGTGCAACCGGTAGCCTCGAGATTCGGCGAGTGTTATTGGATTTTATCGGGTTTATCCGAAAATGCAGAAGCCACATTGGCGATATTTATCTGTGATCATTTTTTTCCAAGTTTGTACTTGGGACCATTAGTTCCGGGACCATTCATTCCGGGACCATTTATTCCGGGACCATTTGTTCTGGGACCATTTGTTCCGGGACCATTTGTTCCGTTTCCCGAAAATTTTAGAAGCCTATGCGATTAAAAAAGATACGAAATGCATTAGCCAGGCCTCGCTGAATTTACACAGCAAAAAATTATATTTTTAGACACGTGTTGATTGACCTATAAATTGTGTTCAATGTTGCTGATTCTTTTTCTAAATTGAAGTTCAGCTGAGAGTTAGCGCTTGTCCTTCTACTCTGTCACTGTTTTTGCGCGCTGACAAAAAGGCAAACCCTATCGTGAACTTTGAATTTTTGGCAAAAAAAAAAGCAAATCTGAAAAACATTTCTCTCTTTGAAAACGCGGAATCCCATATTTAACTTAGCCGAAGACAAAAAATAAACTCTGAAAACACGGAATCATAAATATAACTTAAAGCTTTCTCTAGTTAACATGTTTTATGATTTTTATAATCAACTGGAAGCTATGATATTTTTTAGAGTTTTCTTAGGCTAGTAGTAAAAATAAGTGGTGACAAGGGAAACGCAAGGTCGGATCATTTTGGGCACATCTTTTCAATCTTCTTTTTATCAGACGTATGTCTTGAAGAACAAAACAAAAAATTCAAGTTTCAAAATTTCGACTTCTGATAACAACGAATATAGACGCTTTGCACACGCTCCAGATAACAGCCGCCATTGCTGACCTTCTCTTGTCTTACCCAGATGCCGAGCTAGTGAAGCGTGCGTTGACGAGTCTTCACAAGGGCCAGTGATGGGGAGGAGGACACATTAAAATCTAAAATGGTAATAATCTGGCCTGCGGTGGTAATGATGAAGCGAAGTAAGCGGAATAAAAGAAAACAAAACACTGAAGGTCGGTTATGGCGGTGCCCATTATCAGCGGCTGCAAAGCGTCTGTACAGTTCGGTTCTTTTCCAAGGTGCGCCAGATATCCTTGTTTGGCGTAACACCTAAACTTCTAGATCTAATTAGCGCCGGTTCACTGTGTGACCTGGTGAGCCCCCGTATATCTATGTTTATTGTATGTAATACTAAAGACCAATAATAATTTCGTGCCAACTAACGGTTGCTTCCGTGCAGGCAAAACGTTACGCGGGTGTTTCTCTTAACAATACTCTGTTGACCCTTAAAGGTGCATTGAGGAGTTTTCTGGGATCGCTTAAATATAACGATAAGTCGCTCTGCGGGCTCTAAGCATCCTAGAAATTAATAAATTATGACGATGCGCGGTCGATTGTCTCGTTAAAAAAGCAGTCAAAGATCGAAATTATCTCCGGCGATTGGAGGAGCATTGTGCCGGCAGCCAGGGCGGCATGTGACCAATGAAAACGCGACATTTCGTTGAGATTGCAAACGCTGTTATTACAAAATCTGTATGCCTTTGTAGAAGATAGAAGGAGGTAAGAGCAGTAGAAAAATGTTATTTTTCGCGAAGAGGAAACATAATACAGCAAAATCGTCTCAAAAACAACCAACTTTTTTTTTTTTTTAATCGTTTCCGCGGGAGTGATGTGTCCGGTCTTCAGCTCTTGAGTGCTCGAGCGCGCGGTCTCTGGGTCGAATCGTAGTCCGGACTGTACACGGGCAACGAGTCGCGCGCATTCGAGATATCGCTCCGCGGTTCCACCGGTCGGAGGCGCAAGGATCCTTCACTCACTATTGAGTGACAGTGGACCTGGTTTCGGAATATGCTCCCTCCCATCGCAGGAGATGACCTCAATCATCTCCGGCGATTTTTAGAGGATCTCCTGAAAGCGCTGTAGATTTTTAATAAAATCTACAAAAATGATCGTTTTGACTGTTTCGAGCGGATTTTCAGGCAATTTTAAAATTAACGTTACTTAGAAGTAAAAAATAAAGAAAAAAAAAAACTCCCAAAACGTCTGGTAGTACGTATTAGAGGTTTCTCCAACCTTGATTTTAAGACAACGGCGAGAAGACTACATGTTGTAGTATTTGCTTATTTATGTATATAGAGTTGACAGGACCATTTCGTTCGGGGGCCATTATGTTCGGAAGTATTTTGTCCTAAACCCTTCAGAAACAGCGTTTACGATCGCAGCCCTCGTTCCAAATGGCGCGGCCGCCGCAAGCTCCTCACGCCAGCGTTCCACTTCAAGCTGCTGGACGAGTTCCTGCCGGTCATGACTGAGCACGCGGACACGTTCGTGCGGCGGCTGAACGGCCTGGGGGACCGGGGTCCCATGAACGTGGTGCCCCTGATGTCCGGATGCACCTTGGACATCATCTGCGGTACTCTTGCCAGAAGGAGACGCTCTGCTCGAACATCGTACATAGGACACGTTGTTCGCTGCACGCATGATGACAGAAGGGTCTGCGCACACGGCTCACGGGGGTTGGATTCTCTTCGTGTACATTCGTATGCTTCAAACATGTCTGCACTGCAAAAAAAAAAAAAAAAAAGTTTTATGACCGATGTGATAGGGTGGTCATATAAAGAAGAGAAGGCCTCAGAGACTGTCCGCAGACTGACTTTTGTATAATGTATTAGCTGTACGACCGCTGCTTTAGCCTCCCCCCCCCCCCCCCCCGCCCTTGTTTTTTACAGTTTGACATTACTTACAAAATCCACAGCCCAGCGTGCCATATCCACAGCGGGTGTGTTTGTGGCCTCGGAAGGCAAGTAAAGTACGCGCCGTATACGCACGATCTCTGAAGATGGCGCCTGCCGGAAGAGCATCTGCCAGCTGCCGTAGCGAGGCTTTGCGCGTATGGCGCGTGCCTTGATTTACTGCATAGAGTCCAGCGTGCAGCTGAAAGCGGGTCAACCTTCAGTTCATCCATCAGTTCAATCTCGAATTCAACCTTCAGTTGAACAAGTATTCACCCGACTTCTTTTTTTGATAGCGTAGCGTCTCAAGCCTCGCTTCATTCGGTTTTCATTGACTCCGTTCTTATCGTTCACGTCGCAAACACCAAAGCTCAGGAAGTCTGAAATTAGCGCTCTTTTGTGTTGTGCTGCAGAGATCTTTAGCAGTGTCGGCAAGACACAAGGTCAACGCTGTGTGCTAAGCTGCAGCACTCCGCCGCCCCCACCCCTATTTCGGCATATTGAAAATGATTGACCTGGCTGACCTGTTTACTCCCTTTTATTTCTCTTAGCTTAAATGAGGATGACAAACAGGGGTGTATAATGATAATGTGTTTTATTTTCGGTATCCTATGTATATCTAAGTTTTTCTCTTTCTCTTTTACAGAAACAGCCATGGGAACATCGGTGAACGCTCAGGGAGATGAAGGGTCTCCCTACTTCAGTGCGCTTAAAGTGTGAGGGCTTTTCTTCCCGCTGATCACAGTCAAAAGCGACTTGCTAAGTAGCTGACAGGATGAGAACGGCAGTTTTCCCGCCTCTAGCGCGAGCTCCCTATAATAGCGAGTTTTCGTAGATCGTTTTCGCCGTCCGGCAAGGGACCTCCGCAACCCGCTACGATAGCGGGAACTCCACAGTCGAGGCTATCGGCGCGCAGGTGCAGTAGCAACTTCTTCGTTGCGGAACGCTTAGCAGAGGGGGCAGCGCGGTCTACGAAAACCCCCTAATACCTCCGACATTAACGCCTCGGCGTCTCGCTCGCTTCGAGCGTGCACGCGCCGCCAAGGACGGCAATGAGCGCAAGCTGGAGGCTCGTCATCTAACCGCTCATTCACACTGGAAGCGGATCCGTGTTCGCAACGCGGTTTCGAACGCGGTTGCATGAAGATCCAGTACAATTGCACGCGCATTTGACGTCATGAATTGCGCGTGCAATTGTACTGGATCTTTATACAACCGCGTTCGCAACCGCTTTGCAAACGCGGATCCGCTTCCAGTGTGAATGGGCGGTAAAGGAGACTCCACTGTCAGTGGCTACAGGTCATAGCTGCTTTTATTTTCCCACAGCGCTCGTTCTGAGCGTCTGAGTGTGTGCGTGCACGTGTTTGAGTGTTCCAGCGTGTGTGCATGTTTGAGCATGCGTGTGCTTGTTTATACGTGCATGTGCGTACATGCACTCTTGATCTCGTTCCACATAGCTCCCACATGAAACTGTGTTCCACATATTCTATGTGGAACTTCCCCATATTTTATGTGGATCAACAAATGTATGGAAAACGCCGGTTTTCTTCGCTTAGTTTTTGCTTTTTTTAAGTGGAACACGCAGGTCTTATGCGGCCTTACCCGGCTGCACTTTCGCGCCAATCTGTTCCAGTTAAGACCTCAAGAAAGTGCTTTTTTGTTTGTTCTTTTGTACTTTTGTCGCGTTCTAGTTAGAATCCTTTGGCGGCAAATACGTGCATGCCGAGCAGAAACGAGACAAATAAACCATGTACAAATACACACCAACGGAGGCGACCAGCGTTCAGAGAGGCGGAGGCAAGACCAGCAAAACACATACAAAAACGGGAACCTGATGACCACGTTCTTCCTACGACTAAGTAAATAGTTCCAGTGAAGGCCCTTGCTTTGTTTAGGAGTTCCTGTGGTATGAATCGAGCGGTTCGAGAGTTTTGAAAGCGGGCATCGCGCATTGCTACAGGGTGAGGAACGTGTTGCAGCATGCAGCGCGTTCGCGCTCCCACGCGCCACCGGCGGTTGCGGTCGTTCCGTTTCGTTGATGGGACGATGGTCACCACGTGAAGCGAATCCGCCGACTTCGCATTTGTAACAGGCGACTGCGGTGCATGATGCGTTTATGCTGTTCGACGTTGAGTATTTCTAACAGCTTCACTTGTGATTGTGCTGTGTGATCTCAGTGATCTCGGATTACATGATCAGAGTTCCATGTTCGCTTCGTAAGTACCCGCTTTACCCGCATGAACCTTTTGGGTGAAAGGACGTTTCTTCTGTTCTTGTCGGTTTTTGTCTACGATCACCGTGGTGCTTAAAACGCCGTTGGTATGGGTATTAGCATTATGGTTTCTTATTCGAGGCGTGGCTCAGTTCAAGCGTGTTTCGCAGTTTTATTCGCGTTCAACAGAGCAGTTTCACTTTGGGGAGGAAGTGGCCGAGTGGGCTAACGCGCCTCAGCCCGGAGCGTGGACCGAAAGCTTGCGCTGGGAACCTCCTGGGTTCGAGTCCCCGCCGCCCCGCCCGTTTCGATCTGGATGAGTTGTGTACCGGCACGCGTTCGTCTAATCACTACTGCGTGATGCACGTTAAAAATCCCAGGTTAGCGGTTGTACTGCACTGGCTAAATTTCCCATCTACAGCTAAGAGATCGATTACCCGTCGTAGCGTATCTCCATCAAGGCTGTATAAACATAGAGAGCAAAGAAATTTTTAGTTTCAGTTTGGCACAATTTTTCGCGGAAGTGGTTGGGTGTTGTACATAACCATATTATAAACTTTTGGATAATGTAAATCACTTGTGTTACTTTCTTTTGCGTCATTTTACTCTTGATATTGTAACAACCGTAAGTGTAGGACACTCAATGACAAGGGTTAGGGATACAAAACTTTCTGCTGGCGGAACGACAGTCCGGTTACCGGCCTGCCTCCCGAGTCCCGACTGCCTCGTTCCAGCGGCGAAACTCGCCAAACCACTTCCCTCCTCCCTCCGGCCCGGGGGACCTCGTCGCATGCACGGTGCACGTGTTCAGGAACCGGCGGGCCCCCAAGGCCGGAGCGAGTCGAGCCCGTCTCCGCTGTGACGACGACCGGTTTTAGGGAAGGGGAGCACAGCAAGCGGCCCGCCGCGTACCACCATCGGCAACTCATTTATTTTCACGCTACGAATTCCTCCCTGTTCAGCTGAAGAGGTCCAAATCTCAGCATTAACATCCGCGACACACACCAAGAATTTCACGCACATAAATTATACACCAAAGAAAACACCGCAAGCGCAGCATCGGAACACACAAGCACTTCATGCCAGAAGAAATAAGCGGCAACGGAGGACTTAGTGCACATACAATTGTCACACCTGACCCTTCCTTTGTTCAAGTCTTGCACTGCGTCGGAGTCCATGATTTGCAGGGTTTGTGGTCACTGTACTAGCACTTTCACTTTGAGCTCTCGACGGTTCCGGAGTGTTCGGTACGTCCACGGCATCAAAGAACTCGTCCTCCGAACTCTCATCACTAGCTTGGTCAAGCCCCGCCGAGGCATCCTCCCCAATCTCACCGTCCCCGTCGGGGTCTCCCGGACGCTCGTAGTACGGTTTTAGCCGTGCCACGTTCACGATGTCCTTCCGGCGCCCGGTGCGGTCGACGATTTCCCAGTTGTTCGCTCCGGTCTGGCGCAGCAGTCTGAAAGGTCCATGGAAAGGGTGCAGGAACTTCGTGGTCCGATTGCGTTTGCGGATGGGCGTCCGAATGTAGACCAGGTCTCCTGTGCGAAAAGTGGCCTCCCTTCTGCTGACGTCATACCTCTGTTTGTTCTTCCGCTGTGCTTCCAGCTCACGAGTGGAAACAAGCTCTCTGGCTCTTTGCCACCTCTGCAGCACCTCTTGGTTGCTCGGGGCCCGCACCTCGTCGGACTGTACTCCTAGTGCCGCATCAAGGGGTAGCGTTGCCTCTCGTCCGTGCAAAAGGAAGAAGGGCGTGAACTTCGTCGTGTCATGCACAGAGGTATTGTAGGCAAAGGTCGCGTATGGCAGAAAACGGTCCCAGTCCCGATGATCAGCCGACACGTACATGCTTATCATGTGCGAGAGAGTGCGGTTAAATCTCTCGCACAACCCATTCGTCTGCGGGTGGTAGGCAGTGGTCCGGTGGTGATTCGTGGCGGTCAATCGGAAGAGCTCTTCTATCATATCCGCAACGAAGTGCCTTCCCCTGTCGGTGATCAGGCTTAGGGGAGCTCCGTGTCGAAGCACGACGCGCTCCAAAAAGTGTGTTGCGGCGCTTGCCGCTGTCGCATCGGGAGTTGCGACCGCCTCCGCCCATTTGGTATGGTAGTCCGTGATGACGAGAACGTAGCGATTGCCATCAGTCGTCCTGGTAAGGGGCCCCAGGAAGTCCATCCCTACCTGCTGAAATGGCTTGGGGCTAGGCGGTATCGGCTGTAGCTTTCCTGCAGTCATCAAGGGTGGCGTCTTCTTCGTCTGACAATCAGGGCATGACCGCACATGGCTGCGCACGGCTCGAAACATCCTCGGCCAGTAATAGCTCTGGCGCACTCTCTCCCAGGTCCTCTTGACTCCCAAATGCCCGCTGGTCAAATCATCGTGGCAAGGTAACAAGACTTCTTTACGTAGCTGGCGGGGGACAGCCAAGGCTGACCGGAACTTCTCGAACCCTCTTGCCCGGCGATACAGTGCTCCATCGAGGAGGTGAAAGGCCCGGGCAACGCGCTTGGTTTTCGCTGCGACGGGTGCCTCCGGCTCTTCGAGGTGGTCGATGAGCGTCTTGAAAAAGCCATCCTCTCTTTGAATTTTTGGCACGTCGATTTCTCGCAAGGCCAGCAGCGGGTGCTCGCTCTCATCGTCGTTGGTCTGCTACTCTACTGGTAGTCGTGAGAGAGCGTCGGCGTTCATGTTCTTTCTGCCCGGGCGGTGCGTCACGGTTGCGTTGTATTCCTGCAGCAAAATACTCCATCGGACGAGTCTTCCGTTAGGATTTTTGGCATTCATTAGCCACGTCAGGCTAGACTGATCCGTGATAATCGTAAAATGGCTTCCGAAAATATACGGCCTAAACTGTCGGCACGCGTACCCAACCGCGAGGCACTCCTGTTCCACCGTAGAGTAGTTCTGCTCCGCTCGATTGAGATGTCGACTCACGTACGCCACCACCCTCTCCTGGCCGTCCTTTCTCTGAACGAGGACCGCGCCGATCGCATACCCACAAGCGTCGGTGTGAACCTCAGTGGGCAAGTCGGGATCGAAGTGACACAAAATGGGAGCCGTGGTCAAGCACCTCTTCAGAGCCTCGAATGCCCGATTGCAGTCATCATCCCAATGGAAAGTGACCTGCTTTCGCGTGAGGTCGGTGAGGGGTTTAGCGATGTTTGCGAAGTCACGTATGAATCGTCTGTAGTAATTGCAGAGGCCGAGAAAACTCTGTACGTCGCGCCTTGACCTCGGCACTCGAAAGTCGCTCACAGCTCTCAGCTTCTCAGGATCAGGTCGAACAGTCACTCCGTTGATCACATGTCCGAGGTATCGAATCTCCTCGGCACCAAATGTGCATTTGGAGGGCTGTAGGCGCAAGTTGGCCTCGTGGAGGGCCCCGAAGACGACCCGAAGATCACACAGGTGCTGCTCGATCGTCCTGGAGTAGACCACGATATCGTCCAGATATGCGAGGCACACCCTCCACAGCATTGTCGACAGGACTTTGTTTATCATGCGTTGGAAGGTGGCCGGTGCATTGCAGAGCCCGAATGGGACTACATTGAACTCGTACAAGCCTGAACTGCACGAAAACGCCGTCTTCTCCTTGTCCTTTTCATCGATGGCGACCTGCCAATATCCGCTGGCCAAGTCAAGCGTCGTGAAGTACCTTGCTCCCTGCAGGGCGTCAACAATGTCGTCGATCCTTGGCAACGGGTGAACATCTTTCTTGGTGAGCTCATTCACTCGTCGAAAATCAACGCAAAACCTCCAGGTATCATTCCGCTTTTTAACGAGTACCACTGGCGATGACCAAGGGCTGGACGATTCGCGAATCACGCCGTTCCGGAGCATCTCGTAGACTTGCTCCTGGATCACAGTTCGCTCATACGGGGAGTGCCGGTACGGGTTCTGTCGAAGTGGGGTCGCGCTGCCTGTGTCGATGCCATGAGTCACGACATGAGTCCTTCCAGGCGGAGAATCAGGCGATGCGAAGAGATGACTGTACTCACTCACAAGATTCTGCAGGCGTTCTCTTTCGCTTGGCTCCAAGGTCTCTCCGAACGACACGCCTTCCCTGGCTCCAGGTGTCTCCGAGGTCAGTGGAGCGGCGACGCCCAGCTGAACATCCGCGATAGGGATCGCGTTTCCCATTTTTGTGCCCTTAGCAATAAAAAGCTCAGAACCGCCAGGATTGGCCACTCGCACGCATCCGATACCTCCGGAAAGTTCAGTGATGGTACGAGCAATCACTGGACGCTGTTTAGAGTGGTTGCCAGTCGCAGGTTCAATCACGGCCAGTCCGTTCATGTCAGCTCTCACCAACACCACGGCGTCAGAGCGTGGCGGCATGCAAACCTCTTCGCAGCAGTATACGGGCGCGTCTCTGGTAGTGGTAGATTCATGACCGGTAAGCCCGAACTTTTGTCCCAGCAAATAAATGCACTTGTCAGGGAAATCCAGTACCACGCCCGCAGTGCGACAAAATGGCAGGCCGCATAGCACGTCGTGGTCAAACCCTTCGATTACGAGGAAACGCTCCCAAAGCTTGTTGACCCCGACTGTTATCTCAAGTTCAACTTCGCCTCGCGGCACTATAACTGCGCCGCTGATCGCCCTCACACTTATACCCGAGGGGCTGCCCTTTAAAGGGGCCTTGATCGTGTTGAGAAATCTTCCCGAAATCACATTAACTGCCGATCCCGTGTCGAGAATGAGAGACGTCTTCTCGCCATGCACTGTTGCCGGCAGCATAGCCAGGTGGCTCTTTGCGATAGTCGCGAGAAGTGGCTCACCCTTTGCTTCCCCGGGAGGCGGCCTTAGTCCCGGGCGGGTCCGTTTCCCGACTGAACGTCGCGTCTTGGGCAGCTCCTCTGGATATGTCCGACTCTTCCGCATTTAAAGCAGATAGGCTGCCCGTTGGCGGCGCGTGTCGTGCGCGCGGGGAATGTGGGCCTTCTGGCATTGTACTCGGTGAGCGGTCTAAGCACTTCGGTCAGAGTTTTGAAGAAGTTGCCCACCTCCGATTGCAGATGTGGCGACGACGTAACCTCAGGCGGTGGCGCAGACGGCTGTTGGTAGAAGCCCGGTGCTGTCATCCCTTGTGGCGTTGCTCCTTGGGGGTCCGAGAAAGCTTGGCTGGCTCGTACCTCCTGACTCGCGTGTTGCGACGGCCGAGTGTTAAATCCCGGGAGTGAATGGGACGGCATAGCCCACATATTATGTTTGGCCATCTCGCTTGCTTGGGTCAGACGCTGGAGTGTGCCGAGGAAGTCGGCCGTGGTCTGCGGGTTGGCCAGAACGACTCGTTCCAGCATTTCTGGCCTGAGGCCGCGGGTCAGCTGTCGGAGCTTTTCCTCCTCTGTCATGGCCTCGTTGACTCGAGCGCAGAGCTGGAGTACATCGTAGAAGTACTCTTCCGGTAGCTCCAACGGCAGCTGGAACCGCTGGCTGAGCCGCAGATGGGCCCACTCCCGCATGCTGCGGTTCCCGAAGGTCTCCTTGAGCGCTGCCTTCCACGTTTCCCAGGCTGTTGGTGCGTTGGTCCCTCGCAGTGTCGTGGAGTACCATTTTCGAGCATTTCCATCAAGAGCAACGCACAGGTACTGCTCACGGCGCGTTCCGTCCCAACCGTTGAAATCCCCTGCCCGCTCGTAGAACAGCAGCCAGTCGCTGACGTCATCTTCCGGATTGCCTTGAAACACCGGTGGCTTAAACATAGACCTGAACGCCGCAGCTCCCGGTGTTCCGGCTTCTGGGGTCTGGTTCGTGGCCATCGCCGCCGTGTTGATGATCCTCCCGCTCCGGAGAACCCGGGAGTCGGCCGCTCCTTCTAGGCCGTCCGTGGTGTCGATGGCGTCGACTGAAGGCGCCCCACCAGCTTTGAAACCGCTGTCATATCGTAGAGTTTGGACCTACCCCGCACCTCCACCACTTGTAACAACCGTAAGTGTAGGACACTGAATGACAAGGGTTAGGGATACAAAACTTTCTGCTGGCGGAACGACGGTCCGGTTACCGGCCTGCCTCCCGAGTCCCGACTGCCTCGTTCCAGCGGCGAAACTCGCCAAACCACTTCCCTCCTCCCTCCGGCCCGGGGGACCTCGTCGTATGCACGGTGCACGTGTTCAGGAACCGGCGGGCCCCCAAGGCCGGAGCGAGTCGAGCCCGTCTCCGCTGTGACGACGACCGGTTTTGGGGAAGGGGAGCACAGCAAGCGGCCCGCCGCGTACCACCATCGGCAACTCATTTATTTTCACGCTACAATATGATCATTTTATCAAGTTGCAAAGCGTGCAAAAAGAAAAAAAGAAATCCTTTTAAATGTAAATGGAACAGCTTCCCAGGTGTCATTATGGGAAGCACTGTTCCACATACTACCCTCAAAGCTTATCTGAAACACTGTTTCCCATAAAAGCTTTCGAATTGTATGTGGAACAGCTTTCCAAATGTCATCATGCGGAGCACCATTTCACATACTGCCCTGAAAGCTTACCTGAAACACTGATCCACATATACTATGGAGTACCTGGAACACTGTTCCTTAAAGGCAAGCGGAAAATTTTTACAATGTTGTTTCACTTATAAGTTGCCCATTAAGTGGAACGAGATCAAGAGTGTGCGTGTGCGTGAGCGTGTTTTACCGTGTGTGTGTGCGTGTGCATACATGTATGCGTGTGTGTGTATGTATGTGTGTGCGTACTCGCATATGCGTGTGTTTGTGGGTGTCTGTGTGTGTTTGCGAGAGATGCGTTTTATTGCTATATCTTCCTGGCACTCCTTTTCCTTTCAATCGCTTCTGCCTGCTTCCACGAATTTCAATGCGACATCGTGCATCTATGGCAACCGATCCTTTAGGTTGTGAGTGTCCCCGTCCGTCGCAGCTCCATAACTAAATATAGCCGGGAAACCCGATAATGTGTATACATTAGGCAGGAATTCAATTTCCTTGTTTAATTTAACGAGAAAACCTGAAGGTGCACAATGATACATTCTTATTTCCTCTCTAAATTTACCAGAAAGCGTTTTTCCGTTCAGTATAGCTTGAAACCCTGAATTTATGTATAATTAGACGGGAATTCAATTTATAAAACACTGCAGCAGACAACTCTGGTAAAGGCTTGGCATACTAAAAATTCATCAACACAAAAAAAACGTACGTTTTGTTTTGTTATGTTTTGACTGATCGGTTTATGTACGACGCCAACGTGCTCCAGACATTCGTGAGTCGTGTCCACAGAGAGGCCTTTTGTCACGCCTGAACGTCGTCTTTCGTACGATGTCTGAGCAGTATTACTCCGCTTTAAGGCTAGTTGACAATCCTCCGTCGGTCCAATGATTCTGTACGGCTGCCGCTCCCACAAGTGCAAGTCCCGCACCTAAAAAAAGCCTCCCTTTGGGCAATCTCAATGAGTGGTGTATGCGCAGGGTGTCGGGAGCGTTCATAACGCGCGTGCTCACTCCATGGAATTGGGTGGACGCCATCTACTTCGCCAGCAAGCATGGCCGAGATGTCAAGAAAAACACGGACTACCTGCACAGGTTTACCCAACGCGTGAGTTCGTCCTGTACGGCGGTTACTCTCGATTTGTTATGCGGCCATTTTAACGCGATAGCGTCGAGGAGCTCGTGCCGCGGAAAAGCCCATGTCGGTGGCGTGATGGAAAAATCCTGATTGGTCGATAGGGTCATGACGTCACAGCCACATCACCTCGCGCGGGAATTTCGAACGACCCACAACGCTCACGTGATCCGTGACGTCACGCGTGGAATGAAAGTGATTGAAAAACATCGCGTGTCATGCAAATTAAAGGTCGCCGGATGTGTCAAATGATTTCACTTTAGAAAGTAATTCAATTGCCCTCCTAAATAAAAACTTGAAGGATTGTAGGCAGGATTCGAACCCACGACCCTTTGGTCCTCGGCTCGAATCCCGCTGCTGACTAGGCCACGTTCGCCGCACTTCATGCTCACTGGAAGGAAGAGCATGAGAAGAAGATGAGAAGGCAATGCGAACGGGGGCTCGATAACGCTATCGCGTTCCACTTTTAAAAGCGAAGCTTAAGCGTCCTTCATTTTTTTTTATGGGAGTCAGAATCGTTTAGGAGACACACGTTTCATCGACACTGTGTCGTTTCGTCGATTCCATCACTTCACTGGCGGAAATTATAGCATGAAATATATCCGATGTGCTGAAAACACTGACCGTGCTCGAACAACTGGCTTGCGAAGATTAACCTGACGTGCATGCGAAGATTAAGTTAACGGGAAGGGTAACCTGATGCGAAGTAGTCGAGCGTGCTTGTATAAAGTTAAAACTAATTTAACATAACCTAACCTAATAATCTAAGCTAACCCAAGTTGACCAAGGTTAATCTGTAATTCTCATCTAAGCCAAGACAAGCTAGGCTGAGGCGAACTGTTGTGAAAGTAAGCTGTCAACAAAACGTCGCAAGGCGTGTCGATGAAACGAACGCGGGCTTTGTTTGATCAAACGATTTGTCGGTGGGAGATCGAAGTGTTGACGAAACGATCTGCAAAACATGATCACATCACCAACCATGTGCGACGGTGACGACAGCGATGTTTATCGCACAGAGAACAAAACAAAATGATTTGTGAGAGTAGGTTTACAGTTTCTCGGAATCGGACAGTGCATCGGTAAGCAGAATACGGGACGTTTTGGCAGGATTTACCTCTGCACAGCAACACTAAACACGATTTGACACAAAGTACAATTCCACGAACAGCAACACGTTAATTCCGACACCGGAAAGCGTTTTGGCAATGAGGTGTTCGGATAAGGAAAAACCGGAAGTCGAAACAAAAAAAGGGTCTATACGTATAGACATCAACTCAGGGATGACACCATACCTTTGGTGGTCGATAGTGGTCAGTCAAATAGGGTCACTTCCTTAAAATTATAGCCTTGCGTTTCAGTGAACATGTAATTAGCCAGAGCGCTGCATTTCCTAACGTGTCGTAACAAACTTGCGTTACTGAAATGAAAATTCCGTGCAGAGGGATCAGAAGAATGATCTTGTACAAAAGAACACGCTGACTTCTGCTGTTTGGCCACAGAAGTGGCAATGATCACCTTGAGGAATTAAGTAATGGGCCAATACAGGAGATTTTTCCACAACTGGTGCCTTTCCCTGACGCAATAAAACAAATAAAACTCGCTTTTCTTTTTTAGATTATCCGCACACGAAAGGAGAATTACGTGGAAACTCCAGAGATCGTGGATGTGACGTCGGAGAAAACGGCACGCGGTGTCAAGCGCCTCGCGTTCCTGGACCTCTTGTTGTCTTGCCATATGCGTGACCAACGATTCACAGAAGAAGGCATCCGCGAAGAAGTGGACACCTTCATGTTCGAGGTATGCGACCTTCGTTTTCTGATTCGAGTCTGTCTATCACATTTGTGCTTAAAATTTTTTGTCTCTTCATAGGTAACGAGACAGCCAGTCACTGATCTCATGTCTATTTGCTTGCGTTTGCCCGCTCCGTGAATGCGGCCACTGGCGGCCATTTTTTTGGTAGAGTTATATTACCTCTAGCCAGTGTACAGCTGGTGCAGCCACTATCCATCTGTGGTAGACAGCGTTGCGGCAAAAATAGCCGTTGGTTATATTTAGTTCTTGATTGAAATTGTTTGACGAAACATACTGTTGAAACCCAGCGTGAACGGTAGCTCGATCTTTGAGGACCCGGTGAAAATTTCACGAAATCGCAGCACCGGGGAAAAGCAGCACAGCACGCATCGAAAGTCGCATCTAAAGAAGCATCGAAAGCATACGCCGGTACTGAGTCTGCTTTCGATGCGAGCTGCGTTGTTTTCCCCCGGTGCTGCGCTTTCGTAGAACTTTCGCCGGGTCCTCAAAGATAAGGCTACCGTTCAAGCCGGGTTTCAAGAATCTGCATCGTCGAACAACCACGGTACAGTGTACTAGATGCACGGCTATTTTTATGGCAGCATACCGTCATAGCGCTGTCCGCCATATTACTATGATGGCTAGAGATAATATGACTCTACCAAAAAGATGGCCGGCCGTGGACGTATTCCCGTCCATAGGTTGAGCTGGTCAAACGCGATCCAGCAAATACCCATAGAGATCAGTGTTGCCAGTACTCAAAGCTTCCACCGGAAGCTCTAGTCTTTGGGAGGGACTCTAGTCGGATATAAAGCACCTTGATGTAGAGAGTTTTTAAAAGGTTTATGGGGGACAGCGCTTCATACCGCCGGTTGTTTGCTTGTCACCATCCAAACCGAAAGAAATCGAGAAAGAATTGTACGATCAAGTACTCTATGTCGTCTATCGATGTCGTACAAGAGTAACGGCACCAAACTAAATGCAGAATCCAGCTCCGGCTCAAAAAAAAAAAATAAAAGAAATACCGATTTCTTTTTCTCGCAAAAATATACTGCGCATCGCCGAACACTGATTCTCCGCAAGCGGTGGGAACCAGATGCCAAAGTTTCAGGACTAAACGTTTTCTGATTCAAAAGTCATAAGAGATTTTCTGAAATTTTCAATAGGAAAATGGCGGCGGACAGAGCCCTCGAACACATAGAGCTGAATGTAACCAGTTACCGAGAACGGACCCCATTTTCCCAATGACATTTTCATAAAATCTGATTTTATGAAAAGTTTCAATGGGAAAACGGGCCATCTGTTTCGGACCGCTAGCGCTACATTTGGCCGGAGTGTGAGCTTCCGGAGATGGCAGTTTATTTTTCCAGTAAGAGAGCAAAAACAATTATTTTCTTTTTTTTTTAAGAGAAAGGGGGGACACGGTGTACTTATTATGTTGCAACATAATACTGAAGGAAAAAATAACTCCGCCTTTAGCACGCGCTTGTTGTCTTCCGTGAGCTTTTGCTGCGCGTGCGCCGAAGTGTTATGCAAGTACACGGTGGGCCAAAGACGTAAGGGGTGGTGATCGCTGGCTTCTTCCAGCTATCCCAGCTGCCTAGAGTGGTTTCAAGCTCTATTACTTGTGTGTCACCAGAATACCACCTGTCACTATCACTATGATGCCCCTATGATACCACCTGTAATCTGGCAGGAAAACTATCACCGTGATACTACCCGTAAGCTGGTAGTAGCGCCACAAGGGCAAAAACCAACTGATTTTTCTTTTAATAGCATTTTAAATCAAACACTCCTATCATAGTCCCCACTGGGGGACTGATAGTATTATGAAATAAATAAAAAAAACATGGCAGTGAACAAACGTACAAGAAATATGAGGGGTTATGTTCCTGCTTAGGGCTAATCAATAGCTCCTCAGAGTGTAATTAAATGTTCGATATGGGCTCATTTACGTCAGTATATTCCTCTCTTCTAGCCTTAAAGGGGAAAGCCGCAGTCAGACTGCTAATACATCATACGCAAAATACAGTCTGCAGAGACTGTCTTCCTTGTATGATGTCACATTGGTCAGACAAAAACTATCTGCAGACATGTCCGAAGCATACATATTTCACTATACATGTCTCGAACATGATTGAGATGTGTCTGCACATAATACTGTCAGCAGGAATGTCTACAAAGAACACCGCATGTCTTTTGTATTGATATATGAGCGGCCACAAATCGCGGTACCGCTCTTACCCGCGCAATCTCCCCACTTCCCTTTCTAGCCCGTCCAAGGTAATGCTCGAACTGGTTGCGGAGCTAATTACGCTCAAGATGTTATGTTGCAACAGACTACATTTTCATTACCACCATAGGCTAAGGTTTATAAGTACTAGTCGAACCATCAGATGGCACTACATTTGGGAAAGGGTCCAAATGCTAAACAGCGCGAAGTAGTCAAAAACGAAAAGGAAAAAATTAAAGACGTTTACAATCCCCTGTAACGTCAAATTAGAGCGCAGCTCTTGAGGAGGAGGGGGAAGGTATGGAGAGGAGGCTCCCTCCTCCTATCTTGTTCGCCTCCCATTTACGGGAAAATTTTCCGCTAAATTCAGCGGGGAAATTTTTCCGCTAAATTTAGCTGAAAAATTTCCCAGCCAAATTTAGCAGGGAAATTTACCCATAATGCACTGCGCGGTTACGCCGACGGCGACGCCGACGCCGCTCAAGCCGGAAACGGGCGCCTAAGAGCTGCGCTCTAAAAGGGGGAGGGAAGAAAATCGATAGGGGCGTGGCGAATACTGGTTCGAATCGAATAGCACAGCGTCATCCCCGGCGTCAACAATGCAGAGAGAGAGAGAGAGAGAGTCGGTATGTCGTAGATGTCCCGCTTGCAATGGGAAGGCCACGATTCGCACAATCCTGGAAATCAAACACCCCTTCTTTGCGGGACAAATCAAGGTGGCGCTTGAGTCGTATCACCTTGCGTCCAGCACGCGTGACAACGCTATCCCTATGTGTGAGTGTGAATTTGACGCAGGGTCACGATACGACCTCCGTCGGCCTCTCCTTCACCTTGTACCTGCTCGGACTCTACAAGGAGGCGCAGGAAAAAGTTCACCAAGAGCTGGATGCCATCTTTGGTGAGGACAGGACCCGCCCGGCCACCGAAGAAGATCTGAAGCAGATGAAGTACCTGGAATGCGTCATCAAGGTACATTTGTGCACGCATTGAGCTGTCATATTGTGGTATTTAGCGCACGAAGTAGAGAGAAGACGAACAGGCCAGAAAAGAGCGCCACTCACAATTATGCTTACTGACAGGAAATGAAATAGAAATAAGAAGACAGAATGATCCACCGCGGACACGTGCATCTACCACCGGCCCCGCAAATGATGGTATCTTGTTGATGCAGGCTCGTGTCGGGTCTTCATTGTCTGTTGAAGGAATTCTCTTTCCTTGTTGGATAGCGTCACGGATTCTACACACTCTAAGAAAAGCCCGTGCGTTTACTTTCCCGCACAACACCTCGGAGAGCCAATATCCGCAACTTCCGGAGGCAGCTCAGCGAAGGACGATGCCGAAACGTATGTTTAGACTAAAAAACGCAGTCTGAGCTGTGACATTGAGCAATGCAAGTGCGACGTTCTGGATTGCTAAATGTCACAACTCAGACTGCTTTTTTTTGTATAAACATATGTTTCGGCATCGTCGTTCGCTGATTGAGCTGCCTCCGTAGGTTGCGATGATTGTCTCTCCGAGTGTTTTGCGGGAAAGCAGACGCACGGGCTTTTTTTTTAGAGTTCACTAATAAGAGTTCCTGTCCTCAGAGGATGTGGAAGGCCTCCAGCACCTCGCGGGTCAATTTGTCGATCGTTGTTCCTACCAAAAATGCTCGTCTCGCCGAATAACGGTCTGCATGTGCACTGCCTACAACGGATAGGAAGATGTCCGCCCACGGTAGCCTTCAAGGAGTGATCATGCTCACGGATTCCATGATTGGGGCATCTGCCCGTTTGGACTATGCAGCTCTTGCCACACGAAAGTGGTATCTTATATACGACGCCTAAAGCGCGTGGAGAAAATTGTTTTGCATGCTTCTTGGTGCACTTGTGTTTTGTGGTATCCTCAGCATGCGCATTCACTCTAGGGCCAATTTGACTATTTGTTTTAGCGGTGCTGAAGAAACTGATCTGATTCCATACCGGCTTTTAATGTTCTTTAAATTATGGGACATCCTGTTCAGGTATGGTATTACCACTGGCCTTGTTTTCTCGACACTGGTTTTGATGGTCTGGTAGCCTTTTGCTTTTTCACCAGAGCGTTTGCCACATCAGCCAATATAGGGATGACGAATAGCCAGCTTTTCTTAGCCTCTCGACTTGCATACCGAAGCTGGCTGCCTATGAAGGCAGAACGTTTTGCAGAAGCATGCAAAGCAATTCCTTCCATGTGCTTCGGGCGTCGTATATAAAATAACACTTTTGTGTTGCAAGAGCTACATAGGCCAAAGGGGCAGACCCGTCAATAATCGACCCCGTGAGCATGATTACTCCTGGAAGGCCATAGTCGGTGGAAATCTTCCGATCCATTGTAGGGATCGTGCACATGTAGATCGTTATTCGGCGAGACAATAATTTTGGGGAGGAGAAATGACATATTGACCCGCGAGGTGCTGGGGCCTTCCACATCCTCAGTGAGGACAGGAACTGTATTAGTGCAGAATACGTGACGGTGTCAAACAAGGAAAGATAATTCCTTCAACAGACAATAAAGGCCCCACGCGAGCCTGGATCAACGAGCCACTATCATTAGCGGGGCTGGTGGTAGATGCACGTGTCTGCGGTGGATAATTCTGTCTTCTTTCTATTTCTTTCCCTGTCAATAAACATAGTTGTGAGTGGCACTCTTTTCCGATCTTGGGTTTAATCCCCACCCCTGCCCGTTTCGATCTGGATGAGCATCGTACTGGCGTGCGGTCGCGCATCACTACTGCGCGGTGCACGTTAAAAAGCCCAGGCTAGCAGTCGTACTGCACTGGCTAACTTGCTTATCTGGATTGGGTAACAATGTCCTCATGTCCTGGCAGACTTAACTCCTGCTGTATTAACAACTAACGAGTAATTTGTTTGTTTGTTTAGCCCAAATGTCAACTTTACTGCATTGAGCTGTACTCTCACAAGCGCCAAATCGCCTGATCAATAGTGAGTTTTAGAATACCACACGCAGAATCAATCTCTGAGCATACGCAGAGAAATAGCGTGGTCGCCAGTGCGAATCTGCCGAACCGAAACCGGGTTCTCGATCGGCGAATGCCGATGACGAGATTTCTTTGAGCACGCAAGAAAATTGTTTACGCTGTCCTAAAACTTGACTTTGGTGCCCTTCGCAGTCAACAACTTCTGTATAATTTTCTTGGCGCATATTCATCTTCTGTCGAAGGTTATTGGTGGTGAAGAGCAGCTAAAAAATAAAAACGATGAGAAGGAGCAAACACGACAGGACAAAGCTGTCGTGTTTGTTCCTTTTCCTGTCTTTTCAACAGTTATCTCTTTCTCTCTTTCTTTCTCTGTTTGTTTTTTCCCGTGGTCTTCGTTTTTGAATTGTTTTTCACCGTAACTAATTTATACCAACTCACCCAAATCACCACCTTAGTAAAGGTTACTGGAATTTTCTGTTCCATGAGTGAAGCACGCCTGTGACCAAAATGTTTAAAAGTTTTGTTCGTGCTTGCAAGCGACATATATAGTGCAAATTCAGATCTAAACACTGTCGAAGCGTCAAAATGTAACCCTTTTTTTTATGAATTGTTTGACGGTTGGAAGCCTATGATCAAATCTGTTTGTGCGTTGAAATGTGGTGCTTATGTGGGACATTAACTTACTATTGAAATATAGTGTTCTACGCAACTCTATTTGAGAAAAGCGCAAAAATCTCCAATATTGTGTCCGGGCTGCATCGCACGATTGTGCGTTTGACTTCTACAGCAATGGTCGCTATATGTGACGCCGTTCAGCGGTGTGATGCAACAAGGTTCTTGCTCTCATATCTGTTCCTCGCTTAAGGTAGTGCAAATGACCGATTCTGCTTTTGACTTGTGTTGCCGTATAAAAAGCTTATTATTGAAAGCAAACGATAAAAAACGAGCCATGCACGCTCAAACAATTACGACTGTCCTTATAATAGAAATGGCGACCACGTCTTGTTCGATTCCAGCACTTTGTGAGATTGCGCGTGACTCTATAAAAGCACAGGACCTTAATAGACGTTATCATTTCTTGTCCGTACATGTCTGCTATTTTCGCATCAGCAACTTTCACTCGCAATATAGAAACCGCATGTCAATGACTGATTTCGTTCTTCGTTTTGTATTTTATTAGGAAAGTCACAGGCTGTACCCTCCAGTGCCCATTGTGGCTAGGCGTACGGATGAAGACATGGAAATAGGTGAGGTTTCTCGGAGTTCTCCCATGCCAGTTCCATGGGAAGCACGTCGAGGTGCAATCTGGGAGTATACACCAACTCAACGGAGAGCGTAAGTTTGTCTGCTTCTTGCGCAGGGGTTTCGGTGACGTCAGAACGCCATGCTCAGATTGGCTTCGATTGGGAGAATAGTTTGTAGACCTCAAAGCAGCTTAGCATTGAGGTCTACTCACTATCTTTCTCATCATGGCCAATCAGAGCTCGGCGTTCTGATGTCACTGCAACCACTGCGCAAATAGCGGACAAACTTGCGCTCCGCACTCTCATGTCACGCCGCTGCGGTGGCACTGCTGTCGGTACTGGTTCTCAAAAGGAAGTCTGCGAAGGCATCCTAGGGGTCTCTGCGAAGCACTGTCTCATCAGTCAGGCACGGCAATATTAGTTGTCTTTCTTCACGTTGAGGCGACACGTTCCAATTTTCGGGATAGTACTCTCGTGTGTATGTCAATGAGATAAGTCCATTTCACATTAGCAATTAGTTATATCCATTTATTAAATCATTATCATGATAACCTATACCTTTCTATTCCCCTCACCCCGAACGGGGTCCTCCATCATCTCCGCCTTTCTACAAGGGGTCCGCGGAACATCAATGGTTGAAGAACCACTGCTATTATGTATGCTATTTCTGTTCCAATCAACGTTTCCAAATTAAATGTTCATCAATCTTTTTTTCTCTCTCATTTGCGTAGAGGAAGAAAAGCAGGCGTCAATGTGTACCTCTATGTATAACATATAATTGATGGTATGTTGGGGGCTCAAGCAAGGTAAGGCTCATCAACAAAGCCGCGAAGGCATAGCGACGTAATTAGAAGCGTGCCGAACTAGTGCCATTCAGTCGTAGTGCGAACGGGCGAAATGAGAATGGGTCCAGTCACGAAAAACACGATTCGGATCTTATGAGAAGGTTCAAACGAGAAGGACCAAATGAGAATGGGTCGAAACGTGCAAGGTTCAAATGCTAATGGGACGTTTTGAGATACACCCGATTTCACTCGCCAGTTTGGGTACGCCACCGCTGCTGCAATGCATTGAGGGAACTTTAGTCTTTCTGCACGTGCCACAACCTCGCTGGACCTCTGCGAGTGCAGACCACGAACAGCCTCATGCGCTGCAGATTGCCTTTTGTGAACTAAAATTATGGCGGCTTCACGCTTGCGCGGAACGCTTGGTGAGATCAGACTATAGCGTATCACGCAGACGGAATAGAACCTGCTCGCGAGATCGAGAAGCCAGAAGCGAGACTGTCGCTACGTTTGATTTTATCTCGATTTCACTCAGTGTTACAGTTTAAAGGCGCATCGTAGGTTGCATACGGCTTGCAGTTTGGACACAAGCACTTTGGCCACGGTCGGCATGTGCTCGCTGACAGCCGAACCATCGGCGATCGGGTTCGTTCGGGTGGTTTCGTTTGCACAAGAACGCGTGCAAATATTCTGCAAAATTAAACCCTATCCTCGCGCCAGCTGCTTTAACAGCGTTGGTGACGAAACATTGCTCAACTCTTAACTGTATCCGGGCCACAGCCCGTGTCCCGCCACAGCCGGTGCCAGAACAGCGGTCAGTTAGTTCTGACCACGATTGTCTCAGGTACTTCCTGTAAGAGCTATCGCGTAGAACTGCTAAAAATGCACGCAAACATGAGGTAACGTATACCACCATTTAGCGATATCGAAAAAAGAAACACAAAACACCTTTGGTTCATTGAACTGAGTCACCCCAGAAAACATAAAGGGCAAATCCTTGTGCCGAAATCCTATATATATATATATATATATATATATATATATATATATATATATATATATATATATATATATATATATATATATATATATATATATATGTACATAAACAGCGAAAAACAGCCAGCCATCCCCCGAAAAAAAGAGATGCGCAAGAGGTTATCAAAGCCGCCGCCTAAATGTGCGCCGTATAAGGTATAGAAGACCTTTTCCGTGAACCCTCGTTCGCGGTCACTTAAACCTCAGACATCTGGAATGGGTGACGAAATTAAAGCAAAACTCGGAACAAGTAAAGAACACATAAAAGAGGAAAAACAGGAAGGATCGGCAGCTGCGATAAAAACGTGAACACATTCCGTTGTTTCGTTTCATACCGGAAGTTACAGGATTCAAGATAGCGACGCAACTACACAAAAACACAAAAAAGTGTATAGTGCTTTGAACCAAAAAACATAATGTCATTTACAGATTCAGTCTGCTCCGTGGGTGCAAGGCGTATATACTAAAGTAGAGAAAAAAATCTACGAGGGTTTGAAAAAGCATAAGACGATTTGAGTGTTTGGCTGACCACCGAGGAATTGAATAGATGTCTCGTAGAGTCGCCGTCACACCACTAATATACATCCCACAAAAGACGGCCTGCAGACATCAGAGAGTTTTAGGGAGCCGTTTTTGGACATCCGATACGTTACGGTGGGCCTTCCGGTAAGAACTGCGCATATGGGAGCCTAGCGCATGCGCATTTCGTACCGGAGGGCTCATCGTATCATATCGGATGTGCAAACACGGTTCCCTAAAACTTTATACTGTGGGACGCCTGTCTCAACTCCTTGGACGACGGTCGCATATTGGCCATACGCAAACTGTCTCCAGACGCCTTCGAAGCGTACACCCCTCCACGAGGCAAAAATGCTTCGAAAAATGCTTCTCATAATGACCACAGCGAACACCGTGTCTTTCGTACGATGTACGTCCATGACGTACGGTGATGTCTATAGACGTTTGCAAGTACGGCCCCTAGGCGCCGTCATCTCTCCGCTAGTGTAGGTAGGTCGTCTGATAGTCAAGCATTGTTGAGGCGGTGCGCCGTGGGCACACCTCAGCAATGCTTGGCTATCAGATGATCTACCCACACCAGCAGCAACATGGCGGCGCCCAGGGGCCGTACTTGCAAACGAATGTAGACAAAACAGGCGATTCTTACGTCACGCCGTTGCGAAGGGGGCTGCTGTCGGCATGGCGCAGACGCTGCGCATTTCGCGCGTCTGGTTTCTACGTCGTATACGGTGCCATGCCGTATACGTGGGCTAAGGCCGGCTTTGTTTGTAAACAGCGAGTTGTGGTATACACGTTTGGAAGTCCTGCTTCAGGGCGCTGCCATCTTGCTTGCTGGGGTGCGCTTGGACGCGTCCTAATCCGATTACGAAGCTTTGCTAAGGCGCCATAATTGGATTATGGCCGCGCCCAAGCGCACCCCACAGGACAAGATGGCGGCGCACGAGACCGCACTTGCAAACGTGTATAGTGCGGAGGAAGTTGGCAAAGACGCCGTGGATCCCGATTGTCTTACGTCGTGTGTGCAGCGGGCTACCAGATTCCCCCCGGAACCACATTGGCGCTGTTCATGTACACCCTGCACCGGGACGAACGGTGGTTCCCCGAGCCAGAGGAGTTCCGCCCCGAGCGGTTCTTCCCCGAGAACAGCGTCGGCAGGCCGGCCTACGCCTACGTGCCGTTTTCGGCCGGACCTCGAAACTGCATCGGTGAGCTTTACAGAGACTTTCCGAAAGTCCATCGAGCGACATTGGAAACCCCCTTATCCCAGAAGTTTGTCCGTTCGTGCATTTCCCTACTAAACTTAGCGAAGAAAGGGACTTCGCGAAACATCATGGTATCGCATGACCCCATAACTTCACTCCGCGACATCAAGGGTGATCCTCGCCGGATTAGTTTTGGCTCAAAATCGTGTACACATATGATATGATTCGTCCCATAATGCCCAATACAAATATTGTAATCCAAATTTCACGTCACGACTAGACTATAATGAAGTCGAACGTCACTTACCTTCTCCAAATTCAATCTCCCCAAGAACTGACAACTTCATAATCAAACCTTTCTAGTGAATTAGCGAACTAACTATCCGATTTCGTCTCTTTACTTGTGGCCCCCAGGGCCTCTAACGTAAACCTAAAGCACCCTAAGGCAAGATCATTTTTTTATTTTTTTAATTCTGGTCGCAATAAAACGTTACACTTAGCTCAATCATGCTGACAAAGACGAGAACGCAAAATGTGAATCTACCAAGCACATGTTATCTCTGTGTGACGTCACGTGAACGCGTGGGGTCACATGACTGTGAAGCCACACGATACCAAGGTGTCACGCAACAGCTTGGTGTCGCAAGACGTCATAATATCATGGGATGCCACAGTTCTTGGCGGCTCTTCGTGACTGTGCTTTATGACGGTTTTTCACGAAATTCTGCAGATAAAACACATTCCGTGCTAAAACGCCCTGTATGCTCCATTCTGTGAGGTAATGCGTGAGGCAACACCACAGATTTTTACGAAGAACAACCGCAAAGCCTTGCCCTAGCTCACCTCCCGATCATTCTAGGTCGAATATTTGAGATACTGAGCGTTGTACATAAGGAGTCGAGCTTGGCCTTGCCGACTCACTTTCGGCACTCCCGCGTTAGCCAGCGGTCACGCCGAAACCGACGCTCGCTGCTGTTTTCTGGACGCGTATTCTTCCTTTTTGTTTCTGGCACAAGTTCGTTGATTAAACCTTATTCTCAGTTCTACGGTGGTCGATCCGTTTCCATCTGCGACAATATAAACGAATCTGGTGCTCTGCTTTTTTTTTTTTTTTTCGTCCCCAGGTCAGCGGTTCGCCATGATGGAGGAGAAGGTAGTGATTTCGACAATTCTTCGCCACTTCCGTCTGCACAGCCCCGATGAAAGGGACACCATCCTTATCACGTGGGAGCTGGTCCTCAAGCCCCTCAATGCCCTCAATGTGCATTTTCTGCCCAAAAAGAAGCTTTGAAGATTATCTCTGTGAAACCCCCACTTTATGAACTTTATTGGCAGGGCAATTTGCGGGTTGAACGAATTCTGTCAAGGAGCAACCGATGTATCTCAATATCCCGAATGATCGCCCACCTCACCTTTTTTTTACCCCTCCATTGTGGGTGGGTGCACATCCGGGATTTAACGGTAATCCCTTGACACTGGAATGCGCCGTTTTTTACGTGCACTGAATAGCCGACGAGTTATTTTTACATGTATATGAATATATATTATTAAAGCTACGCGCAATCTACAAAGAAAAACTTTTTTTCGCGTTCTTTGAATGTCTTTATTTAGTGTTAATACGAGCCTTTTTATGAGTAGTAGTGTGGAGGGCTTCCCAACTTAAGCACGAATTTCCCAAAGGTTATATATTCGATTTAATGGTAAAGTTTATGTCTCTGGCCGTTCTTATTCCTGGTGATAAGTTGAATACTGCATCAGATTTCATTTATTATTGTATCGCCATCCTTATTATTACTATTATAATTATTATTCACATTTTAGAGCGCAGCTCTTAGGGGCCCGTTCCCGGCTTGAGCGGCGTCGGCGTCGCCGTCGGCGTAACCAAGGTCACCCCAAAGTTACGCGACCCCCCAAGGTCATCCCAAGGCCACGTGACCCCCAGGGTCACGTGACACCCCCCGAGGTCACGGGACCACCCCCAGGGTCACGTGACCCCCCCCCCCGAGGTCACGTAACCTCCCCGATGACGTCATCGTCACTGATGACGTCACCGGCATCCGCATCGTCATCATCACTGATGACCTCACCGTCATCCGCATCGTCATCATCGCTGATGACGTCATCAGTGACGTCACCGGCATCCGCATCGTCATTGTCATCATCACAGATGACGTCATCAGTGACGTCACTGATGAAGTCACCGACATCCGCATCGTCATCGTCACGTGACCCCCAAGGTCACGTGACCCCCCCGGTCACTTCACCCCCCCCCCAGTACCCTTCCCTCCTCTTCCTCAAGAGCTGCGCTCTAATTCGGTGTTACAGGGAGTTGTAAACGGCTTTCACTTTTTATTTTCTTCTCTTTTATTTTTGCAAGTTACCTGCAACACTTGTTCTTTACAGGGTGCTCCCCAGCGCTCAATCAACCCCCTCTCTTTTCCAGAAAACAACAACACAAAACAACAACTTATATATATAAGCCAAGGGACGACGATAAATAATTATTTTCACAAACCTGTATTTAGGCGGTCGCATTTGCAAGGAAGCGAATGACTCGGCAAATACGCAGCGCACAAGCCGGTGTGCTGCTGTTCTGTTTTCTTTCTCTTGCCAATATTCTCCCTCTCCCTCTGCCCATAAAAAGGCCTCCCAATTACGAATAAACGTTCTTTGGCTGGACCCATGCGTCTTCACTACAGCATTTACCACAGTTAAAACTTGTGAGTGTGGGTTTCTGAAAAAAAAAAAAAAAGAAAAAAGACAAAGAAAGTAAAAATGTGTTATTCCTCTGTACAGGAAAAAAGACGAAAGCAAACCGTCTGGTTAACTCTGCTACATGAGGCAAAAACGTGAAAGCTTCTTTGAGAAGAACACCATAACGCTGATCCAGCAGCAGGTCCGCCTGTGTTGTAGGCAGTCATGTACGCAACACGTTACTAGTAACTTCTACCTAGTTACTTTTTTTCGGTAACGAGTAACGTATTTAGTTTCTTTTTTAGAAAATGAACGAGTATCGCACTTCGTTGCTTTTAATGCCAAGTAACGAGTAACGGTATTTCGTTTAGCGGGAAAATGGACGTCGCGTGACCTAAACACCAATTCATTCCTCCCGCTAAATTTACCGGGGAAATTGATGTCACGTGAACGGAATGTCACGTAAACTCATGTCGCGTGGCTCGTACACTGATTCAGTTTCCCCGTTAAATTTGGCGGGGAAATTTACGTTAGTAACTTACTCACGAGACTTTTGCACCAGTTCAGTTTTCCAGCTAAATTTGGCGGAGAGATTGACGTCATGTGACTTAAGGTCACCCTATGCTTTTACATATATATTTATGCCACGGGACTTGTACTATTTTGCCGCGCGCGCGGCTGACCGAGCAGGCAGCGCCCTCGTGGCCTAACGGTTATCGCGTTTGCCCTTCATGCAAAAAGTGAAGGTTCGATGCCTGGCCGCGAGTACGCATTTTTGTTGACTCTGTAATTTTATGTTCTGGTAAATTCGAGAACCGTGTTGGCTGATTTGAGCTTAGAGTGTTCTACGCGCTGAACCTTCTACGCCGATTGTTCCAGAAGCCCACGCCTGCACAAAAGGAGCTTCGCGTGGCAAACCGCAGTCAGTCTCGCCTCAGCGCTCGACCCTGCTGTTACGCCGACTTCGACGCCCGCGACGCTCTGTTGTTATTTTCTGTTTCCTTTTTGTTTTGGGCACAAGTTCACCCCAGTAAACTTTTATTTCTTCCTGTTTCTTTATTATTCTTTTGATCACCACCCATGACAATATATATATATTGTCTTCTAAACAAATGTAAACAATCACTCCTTAAATACTGCATCTCATTCATTATTGTACTTTGGAGGTAAAGGTCGCTGCCAATTTTTACATTACTCTGAAGAGAATAAACATAAGCAATGCCTGGAACTTTTTTTTTTTCATTCAACATTGCATTCTAAGTTGTTTTTTTTTATTCACCCTAAGCTGACGGCGAAGCGACAATTATGGAGTACATCAAAACCATGGTGGTGTTACTCTTTTCATGAAATTACATGTCATCAATGTTGTTGCGCCTTCTTTCATCGCATGCACGCTTTAATAACTAAAAAAAAATAATAAAAAAATAGCGAGCGAGAGCTTTTGACTCTGCATGAGAACAGACCGCAGAAAGTATTCCCGGTCACGGCCGGACTGAATTCGCGCGCTATTTTTTATATTTTTTATTCGGCCTTTTTCGTTTCACGAGAAGTCATGTACCTAATCCTGCTTGCGGGCGCTGCGACCCAACTATTCTCGTTGTTGCACCCTGCTGCTCAACGGGTTTTGTTTCGCATGGCCCAATGCTTGTGTGCTCGAACAGCAAATCCACAACGGGAACGATCTGTAGCGTGTTTTTCCACCAGCTGTCCAGCGATGAAGCGCTATGCACTGCGTGGAAGAAGTAGAATACCAAAGGAGAACCTTGTTTTGAATGCTAAATCTCCATCTACTGGTGCGTGCAGCGGGCACTTTAAGCTAGAGGATTATGCACCGAGATATCGTATAAAAAGCCTAGTTTCTTTACCCTTTATCCCGATTCAATGGGTCTTCGAAGAAAATGCCTGCACCCAAGAAAGTCCCAAGAGAAGCCCTTTTGAAGCGGTCGGCATCTGCGCCGAAAAGCAGAAGCGAAAGGCTGATGCGTTAGCTCCCTAAGAGCACTGTGTACAGACCGGAAAGATGAACCAAACTGATCTCAAGCACGCGCTCTCGTATATATTCGACTGAATCCACAGAAAGATATCCCCGAGTAGTAATGACACCTCCTACGAATGCGCTGCTGTGCAGCTCCCCACCGCCCAGTGGCGCTTCCACCTCACTGAGTGACAGCGCCGCATTGCAACCTTTGGTGCTTTCATGCCTCTTTAAGGCCGTAAGACAGCGAGCGCGAATTCAGCCGACCGTGTCCCGGATCAATTGCCGGCGCACGGGTATGCACACGTAAAGCGCTGTCACGTGGCACAGCCTACTCTTGATTGGTCCAGCTATCACTCAAAGTGGGCAGTGTCAACCGCCCAGTCCGAGTGACCAAATGCTATGAGCTTCCTCTTGGGGAGAGAGGGGAGAAATGGGACAGTTTTCACTATAATTATTTGTGTAGTTTAATGGGCACATAGAAACGAGTGTAGAGGTCCTAAATGTAGCGTGAAAGACCCTTCACATCAACTGAACAGCACATTGTCCCAACTCTTCCATAAATGTAAAACAAAAAGCAAGAAAAAAGATAAGTCTCCCCAGGGAGGAATCGGACGCATGCAAGAGTGCGCTAAAAATTGTACTAGTGAATATTATAGGCAGACGGGTTTTCATCAGACATGAAGCCCAATTGCAGTCGTCTTCTTTCCCTCCGATTGTCTGTGGTTTTGGACCGATTAGAAGGAGTGCGGTAACATTTTACACAAATCAAATAATTGATGGCCTAAATGCGATATGAACTATGTTAACCTTAGTATTATTCTACCAGTCAGAGCAACAATCTTTATAAAGAAGGAACTTAAACACTGTCCCATTCCTCCCACCATACCACTATCCCACTCCTCCCAAACTGCCTTGCACGCGGTAAGTTTCCAAGTGTAGCAACAGGGGAGACGTTAAGCTTAAAATATCGGTGGTTAAAAACAACCTACGCATTAACACGTCTTTTTAAAATTAGTTTGCTATAGCCGTTGACCAAACCATTTTGGTTCAAGAATCGACGAAGAATGTGGGCTGCTTACTTTTGAGTGTCGAAGTGCCACTGACTCAAATCATGAACAGCACGTCAAGCAGGTACACCATTAAAGTTAAAAGTACCGCTACCATGGCGTCATCATTCTAGCAGTTCAAAGTTTCTGGAACTGTTCACTGAAGGAACATGTGGACTATTCCACTCTTCCCACCGTCCCATCCCTCCCCACTTTCCCCTATTTAAACTGGGTGAAAAACCTAACTTGAGGGTTCTTGAACTTGCCGCTCACTCGGCGCGCGTGCTGTCTCCGCTCCCGCTCCACTTTTCGAGCCCATTATTTTCTTGGACCCAGAAAAAAAGAATTTATTCATGCCAGTGTGAGAGCAGTGTTGTTTTTTGTTTTTTTTTTTTTTTTTGTGCTTGTTGCTTAGGTTAAAACTGCGACCGTGTTCGCCGTCCTGCAAAGACGATTTTATTAGCGATTTTCATCGCGTGGTCTTGGACCTACTTTCCCGGCTTCGTCTTTGGACCGTCATGCGCTGTGAATCTGATTCGCTTGCGGAGGTGGAGGGAGAACCTGCCGCCACGGCTTTCTGTTCAAG